CAAATTAAACTGTAGCGATTGCCCAAAATATTACATCGGACAGACTTCACGCTCTTTCAAAAAGAGGTTCAGAGAACATATCCCCAAGAAAACTACAGGCCCACAAACTTCAAATTTCGCAGAGCATTTAATTTCACTCAACCACAACTATGTAAACATAAATAGTAATATGGACGTTTTACATCTTTCCCAAGACCGATCAACCATCAACACTTATGAAGAATTTGAAATATACAAGGCAGTCAAAACAGATGGTCAAAATGTTTTAAATGACAAACTCTCATTCCAATCGAATTCCATTTATAACACCGCAATCAAAATACTGGATGGGGGAGGAGGAGAGAAGGAATGAATGCGAGCCGGCAGTGATAAGGAGACAATGGCTGACGTCATACCGTTAGACCACTGACCACCAGTTCGAGCTACAACTTCCACCCGGTCGCGTCACCTGTCTCGTGTTCCCGAGTACTCGGTATTTTTAATGTTAAATATTCGTGTCAATGTGTGTTTTCGCGTGTTCGTGTTCTATGTACTTATGACGACCTTCATACATGGAAGTGAATAACGACGCCTTGTACGGCCTGAAGATGGTTCCCTGTGAACCGAAACTATAGTTGCCACAAGCAGCATAATGGATTACTGAATGCAGGTATTTAAACCATTATAAATATTCAAACGTAATCCGGAGGCTAACAACTCTTAAAAATGAAATTAGCTCAATTGAGTTAACATATCTTTTGAGTAGTCTGCCACACCCCCGAGTTTATGCATTTCTCAACTGAAATCTGCTATTAAGACTTACCCAGGTATCTTGATGACTGCAAGTTATTTTTGCAGACGCCATGCTCTGTCAGAATAAGTATTGTTGGGTTATTCTCCTTTAGTAGATGATTTAGCCACCCTACTTTTTTCGTTAGTTCTCTTATATTTTGATGGAGAATAGCTATGTGACTTTATCTCTTTCTCTGTCTAGTGTCTATTACAGTTGCTGGCTATTTATGGGCTCTCTTTTACAAAATTCTGATTCTTTCCTATAAAAAAATGTGTCTGTTCAGCTTTGTACACTTCTGATTGAATTAGAATCTGATGTCCAGGTTCCTGTGGAGATTGTGGGGGTGAGAGAGGATGAGAGCATGCTGTGGTGTCCTGCTGAGTATCTGGTTTTTTTTAAGAGCTGGTGTAAGAATAGAAAGATGTGAAATTGACCGGGTTTGCTCTTCGCTCATTATCTCGAGGTAAAACCCAATATCTTTGTGAAAAATCATCTATAGTTTGTTTTTAGACTTCAAAATGTTCAAATGGATGGTTTCAAAATTTTCATTTCTATTTCATCTGACTGATGTAATTCAGAGTTTTCCGGGATAATATGTTCTGTTATCTTTAGAATTGACTATTGGATTCAGAAGTAGATATCCCATCTATATGGACCAGCTGTTGCAAATTTTTTATTAAAAAATAAGGTAGTTGTGTGATCCAGTCACAGAATGCGCTAGTGCCTGAATTTCTATTTTATACCTTATTTTTGGTTTCTGACCAGGTTGATGGGTCATAACAGTTGCTATAGCTCACTATAAGTCATTCCCTAAAGTTGACTTGGTAAAAAAGTTTGTGTATGCGACAGAATTTAGTAATTTAGATCAGCGCAATCTGTAGGTGGCTCACATCAACTAGAACAATTTTGATAAAAAAGCTGACTACAAATTTAACATGGGGATGGAATGTCTTCTTTAGCCTTTCTTTACTTTTTGAGACTTGTAGGGATACGCTTAAAACCTTTTGTTTTCTGGGTTCGACCTTAAAAGAGATTACTTGAAGGAAAGATCTGTTTGACAGTTTCTTCCAGTCTGTTTGTGGTTAAGCTTTTTGGCAGGAGTTTGGTTGGCTTTCCTATCCAAGTCATCAATAAGTTTTTTGGAGAGAGTTTGCCTGTTTCTCCTAGTAAAACTGTGGTTCAATTTTTTTGCAGGAGTGTACCTAAAACCATAGATCAGGCAAATGTAACAATAAAGAACCAATGTTGACTAGAAAAAAAGCTTTATTACCAATTAAAAAAAAACCCGGTACACTTTAGGCCTGTGCTTTAGTTCATAAGGAAAAGTATACCGTCCTCTGTTTATTTTGGATGGCTGAACATTTGAAATTACATCTGTTAATTGAATGATCATTTCGTCATCAACAATAGGAAATGTATAGTCATTTCCTGTTCATTTGGAGCTTCTTCTAAAAAACTGCTCCTTTACTTCGTTCTTCTCAAAACAAGTTCCAAGAACGTCTCCACATAACTGTTTGGGGGTTTCGTTTTTTGTGTTCTTATTGAAGATGAGCTCAACAATGATGTAAACATCAGGTTTAAGCTCTTCTTTAGAGACTCCTTTTTTTTGGGGGGGGGGGGTTCATAAGTCACTTCGTCTGGTTGTAGATCTATCTCTGATTCCAGGTCACTAAAAGCCTTTTCAGGATTTCAATTCGGTTTAAGAGTACAATACCAGCTGCCTGAAATCCACTTTTTAAGTTTTTACTTATGTTTTCCTTACCTAAAGCATCAAGATACTTTTTCAGAAGTCTTGGAAACCGGTCTTTTGGAACAGAGCCACGATTTTTTTTAAGGGCCTAAAATTGCCACATCTAAGGGCTGTGTGTAAAAGCGTACTGTTAGGAGGTAGCAGTAAAAACTTGATGTTATTTTTTTGCATTCTTCAACTATATGGACAGAGCTGTGACTTGACAAATTGTCTCCTCCTTGTTTAAAGTAGGGCAAAGCTACTCTCTGAAACCAATCTTCTAAAATTTCCAAGGTGGACCACCCGCTTTTAGATCTATTATATACAGTGCCTGCTGGACCATTGCACATGTGTCCATGCTCTGTCCATGTGCCATAGAGATGTGCTGCCTTGTGAGTTATATAAGGAGGCAGTAGCCTTCCACTTGCACTTCCAGCAAACATTACAGACGTACTAGATTTAGATGAGTCTACTATACGCTCCGGATGCCGTGATCCTCTTCTCACGATCACTTGTTGTTTTTTGAGATCTCTCAGTGTCAGAAGTAAACATTTCTCACGTTCATTAATTTGATCTGACATTATCAAGTTTATTTTACCATCGTGACAACACTACAGTATGTGCTTCGTATATTTTATTCACTTCCAAAGTAAGTTGCATAGCAGAACTGGCAAATATTATTCATCTCGCCAAGTGAATGTGTATGTATGGATGTGTATCTGTTAGACCAGGCCTCTCTTTCTCTACTCTCCTTATACGCATAAGATACCTTATTATTAATTGTCTCCTCCATCCGTTTTCAATATTTCTTCTTTGAACTTCAGGCATTTTCCGTTCTTCCAAAAAAACTGATTAACTGTTTAACTTGGTCTTAACCTACTATGTTTAAACATCAATATTTAGGCTACTCCCAAAAAGCTAATGAGTTTCTTTTTATAAACAGCTGATTTTTGTTTTTAAATTTGTTCTATGTATTTCTTACTAGCTGTAACCCGCGGGCTTTGCCCCGTTTAACTTCTTAATTTTCAAGATTATCTCGTTCGCATGGCTCAATCACGTCCTGGTTGAAGTTTGTTCGCTACGCTCACTCACCTTTAGGTTGGAGCTCGTTCGCTACGCTCACTCACCTTTAGGTTGGAGCTTGTTCGCTACGCTCACTCACCTTTAGTTTGAGCTCGTTCGCTGCGCTCACTTGCCTTCAGGTTAGCTCGTTCGCTACGCTAACTCGCCTCCAGGTTGAAGTTCGTTCGCTACGCTCACTCACCTTTTGGTTGCAAATTAGCTGTTGTCATAAATGTAAAAGAAATAATAGTGCTGCACCCTGTTAGTAATTTTTGTAACTTTAATGCTATTGAACATCACAGAACAGAACCAACTTGTTTAATTGAAACAGCTGTTAAGATTCAATAATTTCATTTCTCATAAGGTTAACATGGGAAACTCCAGAGCCACTGGGGCGGAGCCCGAAAGGATTTTTGAAATAAGAATATGCCTATATGTTAATCGGGAATGTGAGCTATCATCATGCCAAATTTCAGCCCAATCCGACCAGTATTTTTCGCGTTCACTTGTCACAAACATACATCCATACATCCATACATCCATACATCTAAACTTTCTCATTTATAATATTAGTAGGATGGAGAAAACCCGACCTTTGAGAGGGTCTCGCGCCCTTAACAGTAGATATTTTAAAGTTCTAAAACCTTATTGCAAAACTACATATTGAGACGAATCTTTTGACACCTTGAACGTTGAAATTGGTCCACAATTAAGGGAGGAGTTGCGTTAACAAAATACGGCTTCACGTATTATATATATAGATATCAGTTTAGGTCTATAAAGTGATAAAATGCAGTTTGAAGATATAATAATACGTTCATTATTACAAAGAATATTTACACACAAAATTGACTATTACCATTAATTATGAGGGTGTTTCAGAACTCCCTATCAAAACTTCATGGGCACGTTCCTTAGGTCAAAACAAACAAAAAATGTCCTATAAACAATGGCCTATCTCGTTCCGTTTTCCGTCTGTCAGTCTGTATGTATTTTTTACACAATTAAACATAACTTTTGAACCATAGGCCTATAAGGTATAAACATCAAACTTGGTACATGTATTAAGACTATTAAGACACAGTTTTGAAAAAATACAAGACACAGAAAATGTGTGACATTTACATAATTATGTACAATATGGGGAAAAGATAATTAAGATCTTATAGTAATGAAATAAGTAGTAGCAGTTATACCTTAGACGGTTCAAAAGTTATGTGTAATTAAAAAAAAATACATACAGGCGGACAGACAGAAAACGGAGCGAGATAGGCCATTGTTTACTTGACATTTTTTGTTTGTTTTGACTTAAGGAACATGCCCATGAAGTTTTGGTAGGGAGTTCTGAAACACCATAAAAAATATATCAATTTAGGCCTTTAATGTTTATAAACATCGTGGACAAAAGAGTTTACAAACGACAAGGACTTACAGGCTTTAGTCCAGTTCTTCTATTCCACTCGTATCGTCTTCACTGGAAACAGAATCATCGTCTGTGTTGTCACTTTCACTGTCACTACTGGCATCCACACGTATCACAAAACGTTCAGTCTCTTCCTCTACAATATGTTCACGGTTCAGGTAGTCCTCTTCTATTTTCTTCACATGTTCACATCGCTTCTTCCAGTCTTCTGGAGAGATCTCGACGAATTTCTCGGCTGCAAGCTGGAGAACTGTTTGTAAACAAAACTTGACGTTCTTTTGTTTGATGTAATCCTTCACTGTGGCCCAAATCACCTCAATCGGATTTAGATCCGGATGGTAGGGGGGTATTCTTAAAACTGAATGGCCGTGCTCAGCTAAGACCGCATCTATCTTATATGTTTTTAATTGGGGTTTTCGGTGTTTAATTAAAGCATACAACTGAGGTTTTAGCATGCTCTCGTGGTAGGGAATACAACAGTCAGTCAGCCATTTCTACATGTCGGTTTTTTCCCAAGATGATGTTGGCGCCGGGTTAACTTGCTTATTGTGGTACGGCGCGTTATCGATAACCAGCACGCTGTTAGGCTTCAGGTTTGGTATCAATTGGACTTTGATCCACTTCTCATAGTTCTCAAAATTCATGCCCCCATGGTAATCTTCCTTTTTAAATCCAGATTTAAACAAATAAACCATTTGCGACAAATCCATCCTCGCCTCCTGCATGTAGAACTATTATTCTGGAACCTTTGCTGACAGATTTCTTTAGGCATCCAACTGAGCTGTCCGTCCAGGTTTTCTCAGTTGTAGTTGTGCTGTGAAAATATGTTTCGTCCATATACACGATCGGTCTACTTTCCGCCCTATACCTGTTTACAGCCACCAAGTAGTTCAATCTTAGATTTCTGATATCGTTTTTTTTTTTCAATTAATACTTTTCTATTGGATTCAGTTTTTTCCCACCGGAAACCTAATTTTTTCACAACCTTGCGAACACACCATAAACTTCCTTTGAAACCTATATTATTCTTCAAAACGCGTAGCATTTCTTTGAGAGTAGGTCTTTCACCTTTGCTTACGTGGAACTCTTGAATGGTGTTACTGGTAAGTCAAAATCATCAAAGGTGGTTTTGGAACTTTTCTTAGGCCTCTGCTTCCTTGGCGTAGTAAATTTTGGTGACGATAGACCAGGTGTTTTCTTTTGTTCAATGACAATTCTTCTAACACTACTAAATGATATACCGCAAGCAGCAGCTACTTTAGTTTGTAGCGCCTTTTCATTCAAACGATTTTCTTCTCTTTTATCATTATCTTTTCTCATTGTATTGTAAACATTGTAAATTATTCTCCTACTTTGGCTGTGGATGACTTTTCTTTCGACTGACTTACTTGTAGTGTGAGGTAGTGAAGACGGTCCGGACATTGCTGGAGGTAGCGCGCTACACTGGTAATACACAACGGCACTAGGCTACAATGTTTTTAGAAAAGCAGAAACATCGTCACCGCACAGGGAGACAGACCCCAACTGACAGGGTTGTTGCCTTTGGCCATTGTTCTGCGCATGCGCAAACTTTCTCTTTGGTACCGCCCCCCCCCCCAGACCAGTTTCATCACAAACCTCACGTCCTGTACCTACATGCATATATAACGGCGTTGCAGCCTCACCCAATGTTAAAATCGCCAGGTCACAAATACTCAAATCTATCATTTTCGCGCGCATACCATATTCTCAATAATAAAAATAAACAAATGACGGAACTGAACGAATCCTATACGATGATAAGAAATCAAATTATAGTGTAAATATAATTTCTCTTGGGTTATTGAACTGTGTTAATTATAGAGTCTTAAAACAGGATTCATATTTACATGCATATAACGGTGTTGCAGCCTCACCCAATGTTTAAAATCTCCAGGTCACAAATACTCAAATCAATCATTTTCGCGTGCATACCATATTCTCAATAATCAAAATAAACAAATGACGGAACTGAACAATTTCTATACGATGATAAGAAATCAAATTATAGTGTAAATATGATTTCTCTTCGGTTAGTAAACTGTGTTAATTATAACTTAAACCAGGATTCATATTTTAAAGCATAATTTATGGATAATTTAATGGTTGGTTAATGTTATTATGTAGGAAAACGACAATTTTACAGAAGATTGGGTACAAAAAAAAAATTGAAATTTACAACTTTAACTCTAAATTAGATTTTCCTTAACAAATGTATTAAGTATTACTGTATTGTAAAAATATTAATCATATCTTATAGTATCTGATTTATCAAAATTACCCTTAAAATTAAAGTATATTAAAGTATACTCTGGTATATTATAAAACGTATTACATCTACTAAAAACTTATTTCTGATCCACAGAATAAAAATATAAACTAACAATAAACTAAAAATATTGTTCGAAAGTCTTATTTGTCGAAGTAAAGGTCTCCAGGTCCTAAACTTCATGTGGCAGTTCCTCGTAGAACCGTTTGTGTACCTCTTGACGTACAACACAAGTATTGCCTCGGCAAAGAGAAACAAGGTCTTTTTACTTTGCTTTAGGGATTCTTTAAGGCTTATGATTCAACAAGGCAATTGGTACATCCTTTATGTTCTTTTTCTGTCTCTTGAGCTGATTTGTGGCATAGTCTTCCTGTTAATCTTGCTTTTACAATATCGTCGCCTTTTCGATACGTCATACATAATGTACACTGATCTATTTTAGGTCTGTGGAAAGACACATTTTCCTTTCAAACGCTCGTCTGTAGGTTGAAAAGGCGGGTAGTTCTTGTGCTGGAAAATCCCGATGTTCATTTAGGTACATGCTATACATCTTCGGAAGTGTAAGATCTTTATGTAGATAATATCTGTTACTACTTGATCGGCAGTAATGTGATTCAACAAAAGCGAATCTGTAAATGTGGTCTTCTGCCATCTTTTTTTCATCACTTTCTCTGATTGATTGTGACTGTCTTCCACCCCTTTTGTCGCTGGTTAGAGCAGTTCTAACAATGCGCTCTGATATATTAAGAGTGTTTAAGAAAACTTTCTTGCATACCACAGTCTTTTCACTTTTGTGCGTTAAAGTATACTTCAAACTTTGTTGACGGTGCGATTCAACCTTTGTTGTTTTTTGTTTTGTTTCCGAGTTACAATGTGTCTGGTTATAAACTCACGCTGTAACTGTAATTTTCCCAAGTCGTAGTAGCTTACAAATATATTTAGTCTACCTTCTTCATCAATTTTGTAACACCCTTTCCCTAATCTTTGACAGTTGTTGATGTTGCAGGGTGGTCTCACTTCTCGTTTTGGCATTGTTTTTTGTTTGTTTTCGGGCTTACGTATTCTTTCCCTTTGTTTCGTAAACGCTTAGCTATGACATATGTATTTTTTTCCTGGGAGATTTAGGGGGTCTATGTTGGTCCTCACCACCATCAACCATGAAGTCTTCTGGTATCATTTGCACTGTGGGTTCTATGGTGCAGTGTGTTTCACAGCCCTTTAAATTATCAAAATGGTCCCAAAATAAAAAATTAGGCAAAATGGACATGCAGCAAATACTTCTTGTTTACTAATTCCAACCTCACAACTCCCTTCTTGGTACTCACCATCTTCATTAACAAGATTTTCTGACACATTATTGTTCTTGTTTGTATTAAAAGTTGTTGTAGATTGTTTGTTGCGTCCAACTGTTGTGTTCACATTGCTTGCCTTCTGTTTTGCTGGTTGTTTCTTTTTTGTTGAAACACGGTTTGTGATTTGAAAGGTGTATTTCTCAAAAGAGTTTTTCACATAAATTACATGATTCCAAAATTTCGTTAGCACAGTTAGAATTTTCACATTTTCCTACTAAGTCTGGATCTTTGTCAGTCATCAAAATTACTTATTGTTTATTCATCATTAGTCACTTCCTCGTTCTGGTTTTTTATCACTGAAAGGGGAATGTCATCGTCGAGCGGATTTTATCAAGCACACTGGCCTTATTTTGGATTTAGGCAGAGGTCAGTGTTTTTTTTTCGATTTGCGAGACGGGTATTGATTTCTTTTGCTGATGAAATTGGTGGTGGCGCTGCGGTGGTCGAGCCTGAGATACCCAGCAAGCCAACAATTGAACCGTTAGGACATCTGACTCCTTGTGAGGCTGAAGCTATCAGAACCTTGTGTTCTCGTTTCCCTGATGTGCTGACGCCAAAGCTCGAAGTCACTAACCTGTTAGAGTAAGAGATTCGTCTGACAGACACCCGTCCCGTCCGTTCTCACCCATACAAATTAGCTCCACCCAAAATAGAAACTCTTAGAAAAATCATCGATGAACTTCGAGAAAATGGTGTCATTGATCCTTCCCGTTCTTGCTACGCTAGTCTAGCTTTTCTCGTTCCAAAGCCTAATGGCAAGTCCCGAACGGTCCTGGACTATCACAAATTGATTGCTCAAATTGAAATTGACTCTTGCATTCTGCGTTTGATTGGTTCGGTAAGGCCAAGTATTTTTTTAGTTTTCGATCTGAATCAGGCCTATCATCAGATTCCCTTGAAACCTGAGTCTCGACCTCTAACTGCTTTCTGCGTTCTGTGGAATTTCTATCAGTTCACAAGAGTTCCGATGGGTCTTTGCGTAGGGGCCCAGACTCTCACCAGACTCCTTGATTCCATCTTTCATGACGTCAAGTTCAAATTTGTCTTCAATTATCTCGACGATCACTTGGTGTACAGTGAGAGTTACGAAGACCACCTGATTCATCTTGAAGAAGTCATGCGTAGATTGAATAGGGCTGGCCTTACCGTGAATCCTGACAAGGTTAGTTTTGCGAAGCCGGAAATTTCGTTCCTTGGTCTTATAATCTCTCATAGAGGCGTCTGTTTCGACTCCGCTAGAACCCAGGCTATCAGGGAGTTTCCTCCTCCCAGAGATGTCAAGGGCATTGCCAGATTCATCGGCATGGTAGGTTTTTACCGACGCTTTATCCCCAATGTAGCTGAATTGGCGGCTCCTCTCAATGAGCTTCGGAAGAAGGGCGCCAAGTTTGTCTGGGTGATGCGCAGCAGACGTATTTTGACCTTCTCAATGAGGCTATCATGCAGCCCCCTGTTTTGGCGATGCCGGATTTCAATCAAAACTTTGTCCTGCAAACTGATGCTTTCTCCGTCGCAATTGCGGCTGTGTTGTCACAAGGCAGGTTAGGCTGCCAATTTTGTATGCCTCACGCACTTTGAATCCTTGCGAAAAGAAAAAGCTCTTATGTGTATGAACTCGATTGTTTGGCTGTCGTGTTTGGATTCAATAAATTCAGACGCTTTTTGGAACACAAGGAGTTTTTATTGGAAACTGATAACCAGGCACTCTTGTGGCTTCTTGCACATCCACGCCAGCTTAGGAAAATTGATCGTTGGGTTGTCCAAATATCGTCCCTTAAGTTTCAAGTGCAACATGTTCGAGGCACTCAGAATATGA